CTACATAAAGAATCTGCATTGGTCTACGTGCATGAGAAGCAACCAAAAGATCCTCCATCTAAATTTTAATTCCTACACATGAAGTATTTAATTTCTACATCTAGCCTATACACCGATTGATGATATCTTTTTGTAGTCTGGGATTATTGTTTGGTACGAGTTGTGATTAGGGCCTAGATTTTGAAAGCTAAAGATCGTTTAGTAAAATTTTGTTTCTAATAGCTTATAAGCCTATTTATTTATGTATATTAACTCTTCAAATTTTTAAAAAGTTCAAATCAATTTTTCGTCGGGCTATATATATCAAAGACCGATCTTGGTTGCAATTAACTATACATGTAGTGATGATTGAATTGTGGTTTAAACAATAACAATTTTTATTATCAACTGATAAACAATAAAAGTCTATCAGCTTAAACTAAAACATTTATTTTCACGTGAATTAAACTGTACCACTATACATCCAAAAGTTCTTGGACATCTTTTGTTAAATTTAAATTAATTGGAGATATGATTCTTATACGAATTGGAAACCATTAGGATAAGTTATACCTAGTTTTAGATAAGCTTTCTTATAATAATTTTCTTTGGTTTTGGATTTTACTAATCCCTTAGTATAAACTGTATAATAAATACTCATCATGATGATCAATTAATAGAACATAAAAAAATTGATCCTTAACTACAATTTATCAAAATTAGATAAACTATCCTAAAGAAAACTTAATCTCGTTTGTTATGAAACTGCAAGCACATATATAACATATATAGCCAAACTAATAAATAAATCTCAAATATAACCAACTGAAAATCAGACAAAATAGATGACATAATCCTACCTGAGGTGCTTGCTGCGACCACATCAAGAGTGGCATTGCCAAAATAGCCAGCTGGCAGAGGTGGCTGCACCCGATTACGAGCATCAACACAGATTACCAAACCCGTGGGCTGCTCTGGCGAGTGCCCACGTGCTTTGCAAGCGCACCTCCATACGTGTCCCGTGACCGTCTCGTACCTTGTAAACCCTCTCGCTGGATCAGCGTATTGGCTTCTATTCGCTCTACTTCTAAGCCTCTCAAGCTGAGATTTGCTCAGCTTTAGCATCGCCACAACTGTTTCCTTCTTTCTTTCTTCTACACAGTCCGTTTCACCGATCAGTAACGGCGGCTCTTCAAATTCTTTACCTTCGTACAGAGGTGATGACGCAAACGGCGGAAGCGGTTCACCAGCCCAGAGGACTTTGCGGTCCAGAAATGGAACGGTTTCTAGAGGTTCACCGCGTGCGATTCTTCCCCATTCAGACAGGAAGTGAAGTGCGCTTTGTCCATCCACGACTGCATGTGAAACTTTGACGCTGAGGCTTATTCGGCCGCATCTGAACTTGGTGACCTGAGCTAAAAAGAGAGGGATTGTTTCGATAGCGGTTTTGTAATTTACTTGCGGCACAAGTTTCTCGAATTCCTTCGTCCCCAAGAACTTGTTGAAATCTGAAAGCTCAGCCTCGGATTCAGCTTCAATGAGTGTCACTCCCGCAGCATTACAATCGAGCTCTAGGCGGCCCCGAGGGAGCCAACGAAGACGGCCGGCCAAAGGGTAGAAATGGAAAAGCGCATGGCTCAATGAGTTTTGTAGAGTTTCGACTATATTGCCTTGGAAGGAGTCAGGTGGCTTGTCATAGAAGTAAATGGTGGGAACGTGAGTTATTGTACCAACTTGATCCCATTCGGCTAATGGAAACCGACCGGTCCATGTTGGTTCAGCCGGCACGACTGTGTATGTATTTCTTATAATAATGGCAGCCATATCACAAACTGTTTCTTTTTTGTTTTTTTTTTTAGTTTAGCCGTAAAGTACTAACTATATGATGCAGTGAATCGTATGAGTTTATCGTCTTTGCACTTGATCAAAAATGTATTTCTCGTGATTTAGTTTGTTTCCTTGTAAACAGCTTAGATAATGGATGTTATAATAAGGTTTAAATGTTGTCGGTCAGTATGATCTGATCATGCGTATTGTCCTTTTTCTTAATTTCATTCAAAAAGTAAGTAGACTGATATCCTAACATGCTTTAAATCTGGGTACTTCAACAGAAATTCCACATTTACAATGAAGAATCTAAAATATATGTATTCATAATCCAAACATACATACAGCTGATGTATTGCTTTGATGTGTACAGTGTATGGAGTAACAGTGTAACACTCGAAGGCATATTAATCAAGCAGTGGTAATTTAGTAGTAAATATATTAACCTGGGATCACACACAAATTAGTTAGTTCATGTTCCATTTTTGCTAGACACTATATTGTTGGTGTTTGACGAAATAAAAATAGAATCATACTTAGATTTCATTAAAAAAAGTTTGGAATCCGACTAGTCATCAATACTGTCTATCTAATTAGCTGTTATAGGCAAATCATCCGATCTATCCCTCATATATTAAAAGAAAATCATTGTAATAAATGCGTTTACATCGTAACTGACACATGTCTACCTCACAATCATTTGATAATTATCACATACTATTTTTTTAATTCATTATTTAATGTGTTTATACACTACTTTTTGAATTAATTCATTTTTCCTATATTTTTATCCTTTGTATAAATAAATTAAATTTTTCTACGTGAAACTAATGAATAATATCTTCATTGTGAAAAAATTACAAAATCATTAAGATTCACATCAACTAAAATGTTACGATGAAAATGTTTCTAGAAATTGAAAGTTTTGTACCTTGCCGAAGTTGGTCATGGTTGAGGCTTCGCTACACAATAATAACAAATAAGGTGATTGATTATGAATTAACGAAATTATAGTGAAAAACACCACACGTAAAATCAGATCTTTAGTTTAGTCAAATATTAACATTTTTATAAGTTTTCATATCAGACCAAGAATTAGAAACAAAATCAAATTGGTAGAAAAAATCAGAATCAAAAAAATCTTTAAAAATAAATAAAAATCACAAAATTGGTTAAAAACAGAATTCAGGTACGAAGTGAAGATGTCACATTGTAATATATTATTTTTATTGTTTATGAGTACAATTTGATTTTTTCATATGAAAAAAATGTTATTAGATTCTAGGTTTGTTTTATTTTTACTTAAGTTTAATTAAGAATTTACTATCATGTGTTATTTTGAACAAAAATGTTTTAAATATTAATTAACGGTATATTCATATATTTATCCTCACATTTATATATTTATATATATATATATATATATATATATATATATATATATACATGTACACATTGACATGAACAACTATATAACTAAATATTTACCATAAGTGAGAGTTTTAATTCTTATTGAAACTGATTTTTTTTAATGGTTTCTTTCACTATGGCTCAAATTGTAATGAAATGTTGTTTGTTAATAATTTTATTTTTTTCTTCAAATATTATTTAGATTTTATTTGAATTTACATGTCTTTAGAAATTATAATATGAAACTATTAGTTCGACATAAAAAATGTCTAAAATTTGTATAAAACAAAACCAAACAAATAACAATAGTTTTTGGTTATCATCGAAAAAATCAAAAACATCAAACATTTAAACCAAACAAACTAAAATAAATATATATTTAGAATGATAGTTATATTTTAGGAGATTAAAAATACAACGTAAAACTGAACTAATATACATGCTAAACAGACATAATATTATTTTTATCTTAAAAGTAACAAAAGTAATAATCTCATTCCGCGTAAGGCGCGGATTATTACCTAGTCTATTATTATAAAGAAGACTTTTTCCTCTTTTAATAGTGTCACTAGATATGACCCGCGCTTTAAAAGCATGGAGAGCTCAACGGGTTCCAAAACGAAGAAGAAGAAGCTGCAGAAGTGTTCATGTTCATATTCATATTCATCCCAAAGAAACCATCTGCTTCTTCTCTGTATTGGTGACTCGGCGGTGAAAATGACTCAACACGAAACGTTTCAGGGGATCTCTGTTCTACACGAACCGGTCTGCTTCTGTTAGCCATCAAGTAGTTCGCTCTCACCTTCGTTCTTGGCTTATCTTGAATCATTTTAGAAGAAGGCGAGATAGTGATGAACTCGCCGTTGCTTCTACGGCGGTTGCTCGGTGGTATTCTCTTAACTGGAGTCACCTCGAATGAGTCGTGGCTCGGAATAAACTGGTGAGGCTTGTAGTTGTCTCCTTGGATAAAGTCATTGAGAGCATCAGAGACTTGTCTAAGTGAGTTGATGTAAGCAATGTGAGCAGAAGCGAAGTTGGTACGATGTTGTATGGCTTGTTTGATGAAACGTTTCCTGTCTTTACAGATCTGAACAGCTTCTTCGTCTTCTAACTTGGAATGAGAACATCCCATTTCTCTCTCTACTCTTAAACCGTATTCAAGAACATCTAAAACCCATGCACTGTTTTTTTTTTGCCAATTTCTTTTAAAAAATGTGAAATTACTCAAATGTAAAATGTTACGATGAAAATGTTTCTAGAAATTGAAAGTTTTGTACCTTGCCGAAGTTGGTCATGGTTGAGGCTTCGCTACACAACAACAACAAATAAGGTGATTGATTATGAATTAAAGAAATTATAGTGAAAAACACCACACGTAAAATCAGATCTTTAGTTTAGTCAAATATTAACATTTTTATAAGTTTTCATATCAGACCAAAAATTAGAAACAAAATCAAATTGGTAGAAAAAAATCAGAATCAAAAAAATCTTTAAAAAGAAATAAAAATCACAAAATTGGTTAAAAACAGAATTCAGGTACGAAGTGAAGATGTCACATTGTAATATATTATTTTTATTGTTTATGAGTACAATTTGATTTTTTCATATGAAAAAATTATTAGATTCTAGGTTTGTTTTATTTTTACTTAAGTTTATTTAAGAATTTACTATCATGTGTTATTTTGAACAAAAAATGTTTTAAATCTTAATTAACGGTATATTCATATATTTATCCTCACATTTATATATTTATATATATATATATATATATATATATATATATATACATGTACACATTGACATGAACAACTATATAACTAAATATTTACCATAAGTGAGAGTTTTAATTCTTATTGAAACTGATTTTTTTTAATGGTTTCTTTCACTATGGCTCAAATTGTAATGAAATGTTGTTTGTTAATAATTTTATTTTTTTCTTCAAATATTATTTAGATTTTATTTGAATTTACATGTCTTTAGAAATTATAATATGAAACTATTAGTTCGACATAAAAAATGTCTAAAATTTATATAAAACAAAACCAAACAAATAACAATAGTTTTTGGTTATCATCGAAAAAATCAAAAACATCAAAAATTTAAACCAAACAAACTAAAATAAATATATATTTAGAATGATAGTTATATTTTAGGAGATTAAAAATACAACGTAAAACTGAACTAATATACATGCTAAACAGACATAATATTATTTTTATCTTAAAAGTAACAAAAATAATAATCTCATTCCGCGCAAGGCGCGGATTATTACTTAGTCTATTATTATAAAGAAGACTTTTTCCTCTTTTAATAGTGTCACTAGATATGACCCGCGCTTTAAAAGCATGGGAATTTTTTTACAGTTCTGATAAAATTGATTAAATTTATAACATGTATTAGAAAATAAGCAATTTAAAATTGTTTTATTAGTGTTTCAAAAGAAAAAATTATTCTATTACAATTTATAAAGTTTGATTTTTAAGCAGTGTAGTTATATCATACCTCGACACATGGTTAAACCGATAGATCTGGCAACCTTTGTCAACTAATAATTCGATAAAACCCAATAAAAACTAAAAAAATTGATACTAATCCATGATCTGATAGATGATGATCTGTTAAAAATCCAAAAACCTGCTTATAGTTCAAAAAATATTGATTAAATAACTCATACGTTTGACTATTATATAAAATTAAAAACTTGTAATTCTTAAGAATTTGATAAAAAATTTATTATATCATTCCAAGAAATTTAAAAATGGTAACAGAAAAAAAAATTATTGATATGACAATATTAGTTTCTTTTCGTTATTAATAACGTATGATAAATTTTTATTTTTTAGATCTAATATTTTCCAATCATAAGTTCTAAAGTATTTTTGAATACTCGAAACTGAAATATAAATATTATGTACAAATGACACAGGAAATAAATTTTTAAAAGACTTTCATGTATATATTCATATTCGAACGTTAAATAATATTATGTGCACAAAAATGATATTTAAAGTACATAAAGAGTATAATTTGCAGAGAAAATAGAACTATTATCTTTCATAATATATGGAAAATATTACTTAGCATAAATATAGGAAATATTCTTTTTAGTTTAAATAAGTAATAATTCTATTAAAATTAAATGTTAATGACATTTCTTTGTAAATAACTCAAAAATTAATGATAGAATATCATGAGGAATTCTGATTTAATAGTATAGATGTGATTATATACCATACGTGTACATTGTCTTTATTTTTTGGGCCGGACATAATATATTTATGGGCTTTATATCTTAATTAAACCTAGCTTGCGATGATTATGTCTTCCCTCCCAAAATCGATACCGAATATGTTCATGTTGTTCTTCCCTCCCTGAAACCAACTTCTGTTACCAACAATGGAGTCTACGAGATATTTCTATGCAACATGTAACGTCGGCTAAGAAACGAATCGATACCGAAGCGACACATTCAATGCCATTAACGAAATCTTAACTATTTGGACTCACTAAAACCACGTTCAATGATTCTTATCCCCTTCCAGTTGCTGGATCATTTTCTGTAAAGAGAAACAAAATTTACCAGCATAAACCTGTACAGACTCAACTTGAGCTACTTCCTTGGCCAGTGAAGGAAGCTCCTCCCCAGCTACATCCTCTGTCGTCGCCTCCTCCTTTCCACCATCTGAATGAATAAGACAAATTAAAGACTCAAACTTTGGCAGGATTGCAACAATCTAACTCCACCAGAGACCTAATTGACTACAACCTTCATGATGAAATCATATGAACCTGACACGGAGGTAGAAGAAGAGAGATCAGCTAATTTGGCATTGACTCCGGTAAATAAACCGCCGATGTGATAGGAGAAGGAAACGTAAGAAGCTAAACCGGATTCGAGCTGTCGATTCAGACCGGTTAATCTCTGATCCAATTCGGAAATCTCGGTCTGAAATTTGGAGACCAGAGCTTGAGACTGGGAGAGATCCGTGGCGTCTCTAAACCTGTCATCGAGGAAGGTAAAGACCGAAGTGGAGAAGCTAGAGACCTGATAAATGGTTTGATCGTGTCCATTGGCGGTGGTTCTTCGGGGACTCAATTTCATTGAGAGATGAGAAATCCGTTAGAAGAAGATACTGAGTCAATGACTCGGAGTGGTCACGAGTTGACTTGGGTTACTAGGATCAATAGGCCTTTGGGCCATGTTGGTTTCTTCTTTAGAGTACTTTATCTAAGTTTATTCGTTCCCATAACAACCTAAAGGTGTGGAGTGAAGTTTGGTTGCTGGCCTGTGGTAGGGATAGAAACATAACTCCATTCCAAAATAACTAAAATAAAATGAGGTGTGAATGACATAACCTTTTCATTTTATAGTCACAAAACTTGAGCATTGAAAATTTAAATTAAAAACTAGATTTTGACCCGCGCAACCGCGCGGGTGTTTGTTTTCGTTTATAGTTAGTTATATAAACGTTTTGTTTTCACTTGTAAATTGGTATATATTATAGTAATCACATATTTACGATATGTATAGTAAATGTTTTTCAAACATAATAATACTATATAATAAGTGTTTTAATCAAATAGATTGTTTCAAATTTTCTA